TTGAATTTTCCAATCGATGATTTTTCCAACGTGAAAACGATAAATTTACAATACAGGAAGGGATAATAAAGAAACGAAAACAATCGATTGAAGAAAATTAAAAATACGCTACTGTTAAGTACGATGGAAAGAATTTGCGTTTGCTTCGGAAACCTTTAGAATAATTTAATTTGTCGCAACGGATCTAAAAATGCTATAGTTTAAAATAACAAAGCAGCACTGACGTATATATTATGCTTACAATACGTTATGAATAATTAAACTGTATAGGAAATTGTTATTTGATGAATAATTAATCTATACATGCTAGGTTGGTAATGAACTGCTTAATATTCTAGACACTGCACGTGATAATTAATTCTCATTAAGTTATTTATAGTGTCTATTTTAATTGAGATATACTACAAATACATATAAACTAGTGAAACCTGTTCTACAACAGGTAGATTCCGAATTTTTCATTCTTGTCACATTTATTTGAATCGTATACTAATTTCTTTGATTTATTTAGTATTGCAATTCTTCGATTTGTAATTCTTTTAAGCTACCCACTATCTATTTCGAAGGAAATAGAAGAAGAAATAAATTGAATAACACAATTTCTATATTAATGACCTAATATCCGAATTTGCGATTAAATATGAGGGGAGTCCTCCCACACTGCTAGTGGACTCATAAATAAGGCTTTTCTAGTAGTCCCTGTCTTAGGCATGGATACTATTACAAGGTCGGGAGTTATATATATAGGAAGCTGAGGTTTTTCGAGAACTTGCGAGGAAGTCCTTGAACCTCCTTAAGATTGAAATCCATCTAGTGGCGAGGGTGAGATTGATGGTCGTTACAAATAATTTGTCAAAAAATTGAGAAATACGAGACCGAGAGGAATGCAAAGGAGGAAGAACGTTTAATGTCTATCTCACGGAAAGCCCGTGTCGAAATTTTGTTTTTTCCTGGTAAATGTGTCAGGTTATCGAGCGTATGGCAACAACGAACAATAAAAATTCCTGTCAGCGTGTAAACAAAGAGAAGTATATCAGAAACTGATTAAATAATTGAGTAACATGACCGATTTGCTCGGCCAACAGAAAGGCAAGGAAAGGTCAAAATCATTAAAACGACAATTAATCGCAATCTTCCACTCTTTTAATTATTAGATTGAGTTAGCCTTCGCTACAGATGCGTGTTTACCGTCAGGCAATCTCTATTCGTGTTTATAACGTTTGATAAACGTTCGGTGGTACGATTTTTATTGCTTTTAATTCTCGATCTTAGTCGAAGCAATTTGATAACTCGATATTGCAATTCATTAATCCGAGTTAAAACGAGAGATTTTTCTAACCGTGAGTTACGGGAAATATCATAGGTGTTGAGTGAATTTAATTATACAGAAATTGGTTTAAATTAACGATTCTGATAATTCTAGTGACAATCTAGTTACTTTACCACATCTACGTTCCAATTCATACATAAAATCATTCTTTTCTAATCTTTCGTCGGAGTTAACGTTACAAGATTACTCGGACTATTTTTCGACACTGTTTGACGAAATTATGACATATCGCCGATGACCTATAAATGGTGGTGACATTGACAACGTTATCGTTTAATGGAGCTTTGAGAAAAGCAGATCTATAAAGTAATTAAAATATCTTACTTCTTATCAAGTTAGGTGCAGCAAGGAATTCTGTGTTTTCTCGTATAAGGTATAGTTTTCACCTTCAAAAAATTAGTACAGATGCGATTTGGACGTTTCGATCGAGAAACCTTCGCTTCCGCAGGATCTCGAATATCTTACAACCACGGAAACGTGATTAATATCCATACAATTGAAAACTTCCTTACAAAATCTCTAATATTGATTTTCATTCACACGGTTACATCATTGCCGAGAGTATCTCAGAGATTCTATTTCCGTGTTCCTGTTTCTTTTCATATTGAAACCAAACGCTAAGAAGAAACCGTGATCTCGTATCCAAGGAAAACTGACACCTGTCAGCTAAAGGTTAAACCGACTTTCGTGGGCGTATTATTTCCCCTCGGCGCGTTTTATCGCAATAATGGCGACGGTAGCTCCTATGGCATTGTTTCTCGCATTAGTATCGTTCCTACGCTACATACGGAAAAGTGTGGCCTCTGCATCGCATCAATGATGGTCAATTAAACTATGAACAACGACAAAGTTGCTGCTACCAGGCTTGTCACTGACAAAGTGTCGTGGGACCATCGTAGAAAATTGATCCTCGAGAATCTGTGGAACGAAATCGCGCAGGAAGTGTACAATACAAGTAAGCATAACGAATTTTTCACGACACGGCCTGTCAAATTAGAATTTCGATATTTCTTCCGTGTTTCGTCGAGGTAAAATTTATCCGTATAAAAATATTCGAAGAAAAAGATGGGAGGAAAAGTAAATGTAATTAATTTCAAATTGTTTTCTCATCGGCATTGGAAGAACAGAGTATCGTTTGTGGCGTATCTCAAATGGAAAAATACGAAATAGAAGAATGCAGAAGTATTGTACTTAAGATATACACGTAATCTAACGAGTCGACGCGATCGTAGATTTATAGTAATCCACGAGTTTTTCGTGGAAAGAATCCGAGGATATGAACAAGCATCGATCACTACTGTGTTAAAGTGTCTATTATTCCACGAAATGTTGTATCTACATCTATACATGATTTACAATGCTAATATCAGATACTTCCACTGACAAGCGAAAATCCGTGTTCGAAAATACGCGCGGATGTAGCTGCCTTTAATTGCCTTGTTTTCTTACGTTTCTTGTGAGGAAAATTGAATAAGTAAATAGATTAGGAATTGTAATAAGATTCGTTTGTTCGTTGGATAACGAAGTACAATAATATTTTGGTTTTTTTTATCTTCACTTTGCTATAAGCTACTCCCATATTTAAATCTCGTTCAGGCGTGAGAATCGACAGAAAATTATCATGAATATAATTTCTCGTGACTTATAATGCAAATAATTACTCTGAGTAAATTATCGATTAATTTCTTAGGCAAGCTAGATAGAATTTCATCGTTATTAACTTCATTCTGTCGATTAAAATATGGATTAAAATATTAAAATATACGTCTATCCGTAGAATAATTTCAAAAAGGTCGTGTTGCAATTTTAAAATTAATTTGTCAGAGAATTTCTAACGATTATTATTTCGAATTGGTAAAAACAACGTTCTGAGTTTGTTAATCATAGGAAAATTTTATATAGATGAGTATAATCACTGGATGTCCTTAAAAATAGATATTCGAGATAATTTTAAAAAATATGCGTTAAATTAGGCGTATATCGCGGTTGGAAAAGAAACGAAAAGAAATTTTTCGTGTTATGTAAACGTGAACATTGATTTACATCTATATCGAAGATGAATTTATCGGCAAAGATTAAATTAATAATCGCGAATCAATGTCTTCGACCTATTCGATAACGCGTACGAAATTTCCATTTTACTTTCATAGGACCTTGCCATTTTATCTTATCTCCGTTATGTCATTTCTTTAAAACAAATACTCTTCTGACCAGAGGCAAATGACATGGCGAATTATCCTTCGTTTAAATCCAATTCGCCGTTTAATATTAATCGCCGATAGAAAGACTTCGCCTAACTCTTTAACTATTCTGCTCTGCTTTTTATCATTTTTCTCTTGTTTCGTTTGCTTCAGCGATAAAGGCGTAATTTCAAGACCACGAGGGAAAACGTGATAAGTCACGTTTTCTTTCTATCACAGAGAAGCGATTTTGAAGTCCAACATGCTTTTAACGGTCAATATTTTTTAAATAGGTATGTCTTTATTTGACGTTGGAATTAAATAATATTTTCCAAGATTTCTGAAATATTGGCTATTAAGATACTAATTAAAGTCTTGTTTTCTGTCTTAATTACATCATACGAGTTGTCTATTTGCCAAATCGATTAAGTCCACGAAACGAAAAGTAAATTTCTATTTCAAATATCAAGATATATATATGTAGGATTGTTAGGTGACAGCAAAACGACGATGGTAGATAATAAAAATATGATTTATTGTGAACTAACTTATTCTAGCCTTACGACTTCCACACTGACTATCTCTCAAAGAACTGTCTCGTTTCACACCCTTGCACCCTTATTTAAACTTTGCACTCCGTCTTCTTTCATACTCATGCTCTCTTTCTGAATCGCGTGTTTCTCACGCACTATTCACAGCCTTGCCCTCAGTGGGTCACGCATCCTAAACACTCAGACACATTCCTAGGCATTCGCTCTTCACTTGTATTCGACACTGCCGTAAATATTCCGTTCATACGATGCTTTCACGCGGTCACTCGTCCTTCTTATCCTCTATCCTTCATTTTCAAGAAACGGTCCAAGCGTTTTCATGCACTCTACAGTCGTACCTACACAAAAGGTATTGCCACAGGCGGTGACCTTATGCCCTAATCACGCCCTAATCACGTCATGCTCACCATAATCAAAAAATCATACTCCTTTGTCTCCATTTTTCACTTAAACATGATAAAACACGACAATCAAAATGTAAGCATAATCGAACTATGGTTACAAATATTCAATTCATTCTCACAGCAGGATTTGCCTAACGCTCGACACTTTCTGAATCAAGGATAGATAGATATCCAAAAATTGATCATCATGATACTAATTATACTCCTGTTCCCCTTTTCAACTACACGTATGAAAACATCCCTGCATAATTTCAAAATCAGGAAACCTTATGTTAAAAGACTCATCACGTATCACTCTACAGACATTAAAAAGCACTGTACAAGACGAAAGCATAATCGATCAAGTGACCTCAAACATCCAATTCATTCTCGTTACACCGTCTATTTCACGTTCGATCTTCCTGAGTCAAAAGTTAACAGATAGCTCGTAAAAAGATAAGACCAATAGGATTACATTGAATAGCCATGGAAGACCATGGAAGAAAAGCAGCGAAGGGGCGACATTAAAATATCTAAAGATCCGTTTGTCGCGCAGCGGAAGTGAATGGCAAGCAAGTCTCGAACGGGAAGGAAGAGGTTGTCGACAATGGCGATGAGGTCGATGCCGTGCAAGAAGCTATCGGGAATCTTGGCAGATGGCAAATATACATCTGTCTGGCAATCTCTCTGGTCAAGTTCCCGATCGCCTGGCACCAGCTCGCGATCGTCTTCATGGCGCCACATCAAGTCTACAACTGTACCTCGCCAGCACGCACTGAAACGCCTGATCAGTGCGTAGTCAATGTCAATGGAACGTTGGCAGACTGCACGGAGTGGGAGTATGACAGGAGCACGTTCACAGAGACGATAATATCGCAGGTAATCGTCGAACGCATTTTGGCCATTAACATTTTCACCATCGAGGTGGTCGCGCGGAAGCGACGGTAATCGTTGCCTTCAATTACAGTTGCGGAGTTAAATAGACTATTTTAAACGATTCTTTCTTGCTTAATAATTTGCTTAAATAAATTGCCACGAACTGATGCGCGCCGTTTGCGTTTCCCGGGTGGAATGGTGTATGTAAAAGGCGGGAAACGATGGACGTTAGACGATGAAAGAATGAAAAGGTGTACACGGTTTGTGTGTAACACGGTACGTTTAACGAGGTCGAGTCTTGCTGGGTAAGTGGACATGCTCGGTTGGTATGCTTTTAAATAGTGACGTAGTATAGTTTTCTTCGGTTTGCTGCGATTCTTGAGATTATATTTAACATAACGCATAGCATATGATATAAATAAATAGTTGGATACCAGAGGCGATTTTGCTCGGTGTTGACTGAATTGTTCTCGTTTCGTCGAACGATTGTTTAGCGTATTATTCGAGATGATCGTTTAAAATGGCGCACAGGGAGTAGAATGGTCACGTAGTCGAGAGACAATTGCGCTAAACGGTATTCGATGTGGTAATTATAGAGAGTTGGTTAGTTTTTATTGAACGTTTGGTTGTAAAAATAGTTGCATGGATATGGGAGGAATTCACGACGAAGTTTTCATCCGATGTGACAAAGGATACTTTGGAATGTTGTGACAGTGTTTGTTAATTATTTTTTATTGGAATGACTCGTTGATGTGTCGAAACCGTTCTAAACGATTTGTTTATGATTACGTTATTTCAGTGGAACTTAGTATGCAGTCGAACACATTACGCCAATATCCAGCAATCTATTTTGATGTTCGGCGTACTTTTGGGCAATATTATATTTGGCAATCTAGCAGATAGGTACAGACAATATTGATTCTTTTTTGATGATGATGTAAATCTTTATTTCTTCAAACCTGTATATATTAATACACGTGTAATAATATTTGTGAGAATACAAATTTGTCAACTGTTGCATCAGGTACGGTAGAAAGATGCCGCTGATGGTATCCGTAGTTCTCCAACTAGTTTCCGGTATCGGATGCGCCGTTGTGCCATGGTTTCCGGCATTGTTGCTAATGAAATTACTTAGCGCGTTGGCTACGGGAGGTACCATGGTTACCAGTTACGTTATTTGTAAGTAATAATTCAATCATTTATAATTAATACACGCGTTTTCGTAATTCCAATATTTCTTAACCGAATTCTCGTTGAAATTAATTTGGGTTATTAAAACTTAGAAAATTCAATACTATACTATTATACTATAGCAATCATAATAGTAATAGTAATAGTAGTAATTATTATTATTACTATATTGTTATTACTATTATTAGTAGTACTATGTTATTACTATTATATATTATATATTATAGTATCATATGTTATTATATTACAGTACTATAGTATAATAATATTTAGTATTTAGTATTTAGTATTTAAGTACTAGAGAATTAAGTATAGATATAACTTTGATTCCGGTTTTTAAAGAATTCTTTCGCGATCTTCAAATTTTAATTATCCCACAATTATATCTTTCCTCTGTTTCTTTTCTGGAGACATTTATAATGACAATATTGAAAATTGATAGGTATGGAGATTGTTGGGACACAATGGCGGGCGGCCATCACGGTACTCTACCAAATTCCATTCAGTTTGGGTCACATGTCACTGGCCGGACTTGCATTTTTCTTCCGTCACTGGCAACATCTTCAAATTGCCATCACGTTGCCCTCTGTCGTCCTGCTAAGTTATTGGTGGATCGTACCCGAATCTCCTAGATGGCTACTCGCCTTTGGTAGGCAACGAGCAGCTTGTAAAGTGTTGCAGAAAGGGGCCAACGTCAATAAGATTAAGAACAAGGACATTCCAGACATGGTCAGGCAACATTGTTTGCATCAGGTAACGCATTTACAACGATTTAATGACTATAGCATAACTGCAGAATCTCTTAGTAATGTCCCCCTTACTATGATTTAACTGCATAAAAAGATTTAATAACACAGACGTAAGATCCTGGATGATGTACTATCATAGCCTATTCTCAGATCGCTTGATCATTTATCGTATCACTAATATGTACGTGAAACTTACTAGTTTGTTACGAATTCCCATGAAATTACCATTTTCACCGAGCTAAGTTTGCATTTATCTTTACAGAATTCCAAACGTACAGATCTGGATCACAAAGCATCCTTCCTCGACCTGTTCCGTACACCTAACATGAGGATAAAATCTCTGTCGATCTTCTTCAATTGGGTCGTCTGCGGAATGGGACTGTTCGGAATGTCACAATACATAGGTCAAGTCGGTGGTAACATTTTTGTGAATTTTACTGTTTCTGGCGCCATACAGATACCCGGGAATTTCGTCGCATGGTGGGCAATGAATAAACTTGGCAGAAGGATCACGTTAATTTGCAGTAACGCGATTGCTGGCGTTGCCGCTCTCTTACTCATCGTTGTCTCCAATGGTAAATAAGTATATTCGTCTGGTTTATTATCACAGGAAAATTACGAAGATAAAACACGATGAGTCACGCTTTTCGTTTTGAAACGGAGAAGAATTTCCAAATTCGATGCAGCTCGGATTCCTTGATTTTCAAATTAAACGTGTGCTTTGATCGTTCGTTTGAACGTTCAAAAGATATCGATTACCATGGAATTAGTCACGATTTTTACGAATAAAAGGTCAGACTATGATCATTTGCGAAAATTCGTATTTCCTATTTAGCTTTCGAGTAAATAATTAAATCAGACGGTCAACAGAAGTGGACTTGTCGTATTTTTGAAACGTGTATTGCACAAATTGAACAGTTGCGTGTTATTTGAATACTGATTCGTGTATTTATTCGCAGATATCGAGTGGCTCCGATTAATTCTAGTCTGCTTGGCTATTGTTGGCATGTCGGTCTCCTTCACCACTGTGTACCTATTCTCTGGCGAATTGTTTCCTACAGTTGTCAGAAACATTGGAGTGGGTACCAGTAGCATGTGTGCCAGGATAGGCTCTATCTCGGCTCCTTTCGTGGTGTCTTTGGTAAGTTAGGGTATAACGATGCGAGATTAGGCAGTTAATGATTTTACGAAGATTATAAAAGCTGATATGATGAGCGAATGAAGTTGCACGCTATAAAGTGTTTGTAGACATACGTTTTAGCATCGTTAGTAGAAAATGCTGGAGAATGGTATTTTCAGCCTCGTTATATAGTCGGTAATACGAGGTACGAGTAATCAATATCTTCTTGCCTTTTCTATGACAATGTGGACGCCTTTATTGCGTTTTAATGGCATTTGATATGTAGCGACCATCTAGCGATCATTCATTAGATCCGAGTTCTCGGGAAACTTCCGATTCCTATACATATAACTACCAGACCTTCCAATATTATTATATATCCCCGTGTAAGGCAGGGCCTGTGCTAGGTAGCCTTACTGATGAGTTCATACTAACAGACCCAAGACGAAACGCATCCCTTCTTTTTCTTTTCATCCCTTCCAGCATCACCGCCACATCAAGGATACCTTTGCTTTTTCTTTTTTTTTTACACATGGGGAAAATCTTCGAAAGATACTCCCCCTCCCCTAAAGGAGGGGTGCGATATGTAGGATTCTTACTCACTAAAACCCCCACGATAGCCACCCTAACCGCGATGATGGAGCGCCCTGAATTTTGCGAACCGATGCAATTTCCAGGGCGCTCCCGCGAAAAAGGACGGAAATGGTACCCAGGACCTTTAGCACAGGAATTTTCTAATGTCACGGTTAGGTTACCACTCGACTTACATCGAGGATACCTGCGATCAGCTGTCTTCAACAACCGTGGGAAAGGAGGACCCCCTACAGATATATCGATTTATCGTCATTGTAAATGTTACAAAGTTACAACGACAGCGAAGAAAGACCACTCGACGAAAAATCAGCTATCGCTAATTATGTATTAAATTTCAATTGTGTTGCAAGTTTCTTAAGTCAAGTGCGATAGTTTTAGTTTGGCATCGCTTTCCAAAGATTTATCTTTGACATACGATGGTATATCTTTGGTATACCTATGTTATAATATTTTAATTATCTTGTGAAGATGAAATTCATACATATACAGGAAAAAATGACGCAAGTTATGAATTATCTATAAGCATGTTAGGGTGTCCCAACAGTTTCTTCCTTTTTTTTTATGCGAAATCAATAGACGATATTTGTTGTTTAAGGTTGATTTATGCCTATATGCTATAATTATATATATTATGGTATGATCACATGGTACGATGCCATAAACAGAGAATTGATAATCCTGCATGTTTACGAATATAGCCGGCTCGAGAACATACATAGCGTAACGCGGAAAGAACTTATGGGGCAACCTAATATCTTTTTATCTAGATATAATCTTCTTTTGTCTCGTTGATAATAAATTTTTAACGATTTTTTGAAGGATCGCATTCAAACGTGGCTTCCTCCGGCATGTTTTGGAATCATCCCTCTCATCGGTGCCGCACTTTGCCTTTTATTGCCGGAAACCGTGGGGTGCACGCTTCCAGAAACGCTGGAAGATGGCGAAAACTTTGGGAAGTTAGTACTATATTCGATATTTCTAATTTATTTAACATGCCATCACTTTCGCAATTCTAAATTCGTGCATGCTATTATCACCGTTAATCTTCTAATTTTTATTAATCTCCTTCTGTATCGATTGCAGGAAAGTCTACAAAATAAAGAAGAATCCAAAAGACATCGAAGCAGAGGCGACACTTTAAGCGAAGACTGCGATTAATTCTTATCTAGAAATTCTCGAGTAATTAGGAAAAATTGCAAGGAGAAGTGACAAAATTGAAAACATAGATTTTCATAGAGAAATTAATTGTACATATAAGTAATACTGAGATCATTCCCCTTTTTTATTTATTGCATTATTACATCCACGATTTTAACGACCTTTCTCTTCATGCGCGTTGAAACACATCGATTTCATGTTTCGATAAATTCGCAAATCATTCGTAGCCGGAAAACTTGATCAGTATGCGCATTAGTTTGTATAGAAGCGAAATTTTTGAACAAAAATTTAACACGAGACGTTTCAAAAGTTTTGTCGATGTCGAGGAGTTCAAAGAATCGAAGGATCTTACTTACTGCCGAATGTAACAATTGCGAGAAGAGTGCCTTGTACCATTTGTATATGAATATCTAAATAGATGTTATACTTTATAAAACTCAAACGTTATTTCTTAGCATCCTTTTCGATGTCCTGGTTTTGGATACGAGACGCGAAAAAATACTATAATTACGAAACTTTCTTAGCTACGAGAATGTGTCTCCCTTCTCTTTATTATTTCCAAAATATTGTTCAACTTTTTGTATTCACAGACGATTTTGCGAAATATTTTTCTACGAGTTTTATAGATATATCTTTTATTTGTTTCATATACCGAGATTATGTTTTAATAAAGATAAATATTTTCAAATATGTATTTATAAAATCTTCTTCATTTTAGATAAAAAGAAATAGACGTTAAAAGATATTTACATTTATTTAAAAATTACAAAAATGTTCCAATTTGAATAATAAAATATTTCAAATTCTGTTACCAATATTAGTTTCATTATTTGACAAACAAGATATCTTAAATTATGTATACAACGTTATAGAAAAATAAAAATTGTAGATATACCAAATTTATTATTAATTTTTAATAAACTCTCTATGAATTTGTGTAATTAAATGTTCATCAACTGTTACTCTTTGTTCAATTTAATTCAATTCAATTTCTATTTTTTCCACTCTATCGCGTGTAATATAATTGTTTATATTTTATCGTTGCGTTAAAAATGTCAATATTGTTCGAGGTAAAGCTAATAACTGGAAATCGTTTAAAACACTACATAAAATTACGCTTCAGTGATTAAGTTAGATACCAAGAACATTTTGCTGACAGTAATGGTACTAAATAATCTCACGATCTTTCCTGTACATTTTCTGCTTTACATTGAATAACTATTGTACAGCTAAGTGACAAATAATAAGTATTACGTTCCAAGAATATCTCATTCTTTCACTTTCTTAAAAACAATTAGCAATACAAGCTGTATTATACAATATACATTACCATATTTTGAATAACAACACGATAATAATCGACACGTTTACATAAAGCAAATGTTTTATTCGTTTAATATGCAACTTACAAAAGAAATGAAAATCTGTAAACACAATAGTTGCTTGGAAAAGTAGTATAAAAATGAAAATTTCAAATGAAAAATAGGCTGAGAAATGAATAAGAATTTTTATTTATTAAATTTCCCTTCATTTCTTTCGATCACTTTCACTTATTTAGTATTAATTAATAATTAGTACTTAATTTTACTAATTATAGTAATTATATTTATTTAGTAATGTAATTAGTGATTTAAGTGTTTGTATATTGGTAACAACTGAATAATGAGTGACGCAAACTTTTATAAATTATAGTGTACCATTGAATGAATTAGTGATGTTAATGTCGAAAAAATTATAATTTACAGGAAAAAATGTAAAATACCCTGATACGCAATTTCATCCACGTTCGTGGTTATTTTTTAAACTCAAGGTTAATATCTTTTTATCGAGCTCGATTAACGAACAAAATGTTTCACTTTTTATTCATTTTGCGGTCGAACCGACGATAAACGCGAACGTTCAATACCTGTTCTGTTTCTTTTAACAACAGGACCAAATCGAGTGCTCGATCTTGTATCTGATTCGCTTACCTTAATTTCGCAGTGAAAACGCTGAAATTGAATTCAATAATATCAAGGAATTGCGAAAACAAATTAGGAAATATATGTTTTTAAGAGAAGGTTGTACAAATATTTGAAAACAATGAGAATTACTCGTATAAAATTATATTTCGTGTAATGATTTCTGTAATTCCATTTTTTTGAAGATGAAAGAACTAATATAAAATAATATTGTAAATATTGTTATATATCATGATTGCAGGTCAGTAAATTCATATTATTTTAAATTATAGAATAATACGAATAGAATTAATATAAATATGAAAAATATTATAAAATAATATTAAATAAATTATAGTAAATCCTTTATTTAATGATGCATAGAGTTATAGTAAGTCATACATTTACAATGCGTGGTTACACGTACAAAATGTCATGCACCATGTGTGCTATTCAATGCATTTCCGTTTACCGGAAGAAGCTGTTTAAACTTTCAAAGAGTTTCGTGATGTTGCTACGACTGTTCTGATTTTTTTATGAAAACGTAACAAAAGATGTATGTAATTAACGGAAGTACACAGGTTACACTATGTGTGTACAATAATTGTTCCTAATTATAAAACGTTACCACTTTATTACTTCGAAATATTCACGCGTTGCTCTAAAAAAAAGTATTATTTTAATTAAACATCGACGTTCAATTTTTATTAACCAAATTCCAAAATTTAATTTCAAAATTTCAAAATTTCAAATTCAACTTTTTCTTTCCAATCTTCGTTCTGAAATCAGAAATAAATTGTATTACGTCTTACATTTTCATTCGTACTTTAATAATTCACTCGAAATAATTCTTGACTAGCAAGACGAATAATATACAGGTTCCTATTTCGAAAATTTATTCCAAAATTGGATAACTATAAATTATATTGCACATTCGCATTCGCGCACTTTAATAAATCGCTGAAGATAATCCCAAAAACCAATTTTGCGCGTATTTATTCAAGCTTTCACTGCGATGCGTGTGATGAATTCGTGGATTTTGCACGATAGATTAATAGTTGCGGTCAGTGTTTTAATTCTCGGTAACGTCGATACGAAAGAGGAACCACGATTTTCAGTGGACGCTTCAATCGCATCCATCTAGTATGGTTACAAGGTATATAAAGTACCACAGCGCAATGAACTATAGCGTCACTCTGTCTTGAACTGCTTTAGCAGAAGGCCGGTTTGTTCTTTGGATAACGGGTAGTCCACCTCCGGCCACGATTCACACATCCAGGTGCCACAGTTCACAGTCTCCTCTCGATCACTGCGATACAACCTTGCCGGTACAACTTCGAATCAAGGCAAAGGTAGGAGAACACGATCTCGATTATAATAGCAATTAATATAATAGTAATAATATAACAAGCAATTTTGTAACTTTTTTCCTTATTTTTCTGTTAAAATATTCTTCCTACCTGATTTAATATAATTCATTCCAAAGTTTGTACATTGTTTCAAATTATTTTGGATTACTATAACTTGACTTCTGTAATGTTTCTTATTTTTACTGTTAAGATATTCCTTATACGTAATTTAATATAATTTATTTAAACGATTTTAAATTATTTCGAATTATTTTGGACTTACCTTCTGTAACGTTTCTTATTTTTTCTGTTAAGATATTCCTTATGCTCAATTTAATACACTTCATTTGAATGATTTTAAATTACCTTCAATTATTTTGAATTATTTTCAGTCAACATAATTTAATTTAATCGAAGAAAGTGTAATTGCTTGAGTTTTTCATTGACATAATTTTGCAATCTTATCTTAACAGAAAAATAGCAAAGATCACATTTTCAACATTTGGTTCCATTTTTCTTCATTTTGAACCTTTTTTTATATTTCTTTTATGCTATCGAAGTGAAAAATATTAGTTGGTATTGAGGCTATTATCGATGTGTTAAATTTGGTAGGTATTTACGCGTTTGTTTGGTTCAATTTTGAATGTTTTATTAGAGCACAGATACAGATTAAGTAGTTAGTAAAAATGAAATAGCTCGAGCTTTGTGCTTAGAGGTATAATGCAAAGGATGACTTGAAGCCTCTGTGTGATATTGGCTATTACGTCTACGTCTATAGTGAAGACGTTGTAGAATAATTGCGGATTATTTAGTAATCTCTTGTCCATTGTTATTCTAAGTGTTGTCATTCTAACATAAAATTCGAATTGAAAACCCGACTTGTAATGCATCTGTAACGTGAAAATAAATATTATAGATGAATATGTTACACAAATATGGGTGTAATAATGCTGTAACATTATTATTTGAAAATATTACGTAACAAGTGACCAGATGTTTTTAACTTACATTTCGAGATGCTGTTACCATACTTGAGAAACAGTTACAGCCTCAGGGTACCAGATTTAATCTTTCGTAAGACATTTTATACACAGATGGCGTACAAAAATTGATTTCAAAAACAACAATACTCTTTCGTAGCGATATTTAATAGCAAACACGGAAATTTATTCATAAATACAAAAATTTCCATGTAAACTAATAAAAACAAATATAAAAAGAAAATAAGAATAAAAGTTAACATAAATTTATGAAAAAGTATAGTACTTCCACATAATCTTTTTTAGTGATTAGATCTAAAAGAAAATATTATTTATTCATTTATTTATTAAATATTTGACAAAGTTGTTTATAGAAATATTCAAATCTATTCTCACGTAACGTGTTACGATATTTGATTAAAATATTTATTAGATAATATTCAAAATGATAGTTTTTACAATAGGGAAAGCATAGTAAACGGTGAAGGCTTGACAAAATTTACTTAACACAGATACGAAATATTTCTAAGTAACCAATACCGATGTAACGAATAAACGAAGTGTAACTAAAGATTTATAATTGTCGGGAAAGGAAAATGCAAATAATCCCTAACGTTAATTTCTTATTTTATAGATATGCTGTGTCTTTTGTTGATCGCTTGCCTCGCAGTGGCCAATGGCCACGAGTTTAAAACAGTTCGCTCGTGGAACTGCATCGATTTCAATTTTCCAAATGATGACGTTCGAAACACATTGATATCCAATGGTTGCTATATTCCGGAGAATAATATGCCCCTTGGTATGCACGTTTGGAATGACAAAATATTTGTTACCGTACCAAGATGGAAGGCAGGCGTCGCGTCTACTCTGAACTACTTTTCAAAAAATGATCCATCAGGTACGCGAATTTAAAATTTTTCTTAATACAAAATTTTGCGAAGGAACTGTAGACGACAATTCTGTCTCTTTCAAAATCGAAATCGAGAAAATAAATAATTGGCGATACCCTGTAAAGATAATAATACATAATATAATATAAAATTAAAATTAAAATTATTTATTAATTGCATATTGTTCGAGATTATATATATTTAAATTGAAATTAGCTTTTGTTATCGCGTAGAATCTCCAAGACTAACTCCTTATCCCAATTGGGAAATGAATTATATTAATAATCCTGATGGTATCGTGAGCATCTTCCGAGTCAGAGCTGACGCTTGTGGTCGACTATGGGGTGTCGATACAGGTGTCGATGATATCTTGGGTAATAATACCGTCGTACGACCTGTGAGGATTTTCGTGATCGACTTACAGACTGACGAGGTATGGAGATAAATTTGTTTCATTCATTTTCAGGTAATAATTTATTTTCTGACCATGATATTTATTTTACAATTGCAGATACTGCGAGTTTATCCACTAAAGAGCACGGATCAAGTGGATAATTCCTTCTTCGCCGAATCGGTGGTCGACGTAGATCCAAATAATTGCGACAATGCTTATCTTTACATATCCGATTTTGCTGGATACGGTTTGGTAGTTTATAGTTGGGCCAAGAACGACTCCTGGCGGATCACGCACAACTTCTTCCACTTCGATCCTCTTAATGGTTAGATTTTTTAATTAACTTCAATTTTCAAAAGGAGGACAGAGGAATAGAAGATATTAGATGATCCATTCTTTTGTCGTCCTAATTTTTCCAATTTTTATATTTCTTCTATTTCTTCTAATTTTTAGAGTCTTTGCGATTATAATTATTCTTACAATTTTATCATAGCCTTTAATAAAATTTCACGAAAACTCGATTTCTCGTTTGCAGGAAATTTTGATATCAGCGGATACAAGTTCCAATGGACAGACGGTGTATTTGGAATGTCCTTGTCCGCACCTCAGAGCGATGGCTATAAAACCTTGTACTTCCATGCAATGTGTGGCATCACTGAATTTTCAGTATCCACTGAAGTCCTACAGGATCACGAACTGAAAAAATCTGGAGACTATGACGCTTTCCACGTCGAGGGTGAGAAGGGTCCAAATACTCAGGGACCTACATCTTTGATCGATACGAACACTGGTATCGATTACTTCCTTCAGGTGAAGAGAAATGGCATCGCGTGCTGGGATACCAGCGCTGAGTTGAATCCAAACACTTTTGGTAAGTACTGATTGAAATCACAATTAGAATTGCTCACTTGGTTAGGTAGTCTATATAAAAAAGCACGACGAGTCACAATTTTCATATCATTTGCGTGGCTTTTAAAAAATTTAATAAATCGATGGCCGATTTTTGAAAGATAATATTTTCATATCTACCATTAAAATATTTTTCTATAGTCAGTAAGTAATAGTATAGGAGATAACAAATTTTTTTAATAAAAATGTGGAATTGTTATTTCTCATTTTTTGTTCATAACAAATAGTAGATCAAACTTGTTTCCAGTTTCTAGAATTGGACGTGGTCATAAAGCTGGGAAAGATTTATCTTCAATCGATAGTATATTTTAGATTCATCCGTATAACGATCTTTATCGTGAAACAATTGAAAGTCTGCGGCATCAAGGATTCAGACGTCATTTTAACGATCATTGAATGACTATCACTAACGTTTATTCCATTGCATTTACCAAGTTTATTATTAAAGGAAATTTACGGCAGCAATTGTAGAAAATTGTATTTTTTACGTAACGCCATTCTGAGAAGTGTGACTGGCAGTTTCCACAAATCTACTTTTATATTTTAATTATATATATATATTTTCTATTCGCTATTAATACCAATCGTCATATTTCAAGTCTGTATTTGATATTTTATATTTTTTATAATTTATTTTATTTTATTTTATTTTATATAATTGTGACTTTCATATTTTAGTCTTTATTCTTTATTCTGTGTTACAAATTTGATAATTTGTATGCTATATTTTAGGACATACAATTATTGTTTCCATTTTGTTGCAGTTCTCGCGGCACAAGACAATAACACGATGGTGTTCGGCAACGATTTATCGATAGATCGGTCCAGCAACACGTTATACATGCTTTCTGACAATCTTCCACAATTCATGTTCTCCACTTTCGATCTGCAAAAGCGTAACTTCTTCATCACAGCGGCTAATCTAGATTCCCTGACGCAGATTTGCAAAAAACAGGATGTCAAAGTCGGAAGACGACTTCCTCATATTCTTTAACGAGACGGTGCTGTAATTCGGCTATTCGAGAATTATCTAATAAATATCCATTGGATCTGTACACGTCGTCCGTACAAATATCAATTACCTTCAATTTATTTCGTTAATATCAAATTTTGCAATTTTGCGATTCAATGCAAATGCGAATTGAAAATCGAAAATTCTGTTTATTATACTAATCGTATAGTTAGAGTACAATTTACGAAAGGGAATGTTTCATCCAGTTCCTCAGAATCTACCTTTATTTATTCACAGTAGTTATACAAAAAGGATATTCAGAATGGTTGCACGCGTTGTGTGAAGACCGCATAAAATATATAATTATAGTTAATTCTAACGTCTTTTCGTTTATGTTGATATCCTTTCTCCTTACAATGGATTCAGTCATTCACGTCGAAATCCTTTCTTTCTTAAGATACGTGTATTTACAAACAATTTCGCCATTCAAGAGACACTCTAAGAGTACTTTAACTCTTTGGGGCACGTTGAGCTTAAAAGTGTCCCAACTTTTTGATGCACCGTTATGCATGCTGGAACATTTTTAGTCCAACCTCGAAATATTGCAATAGCTGCATGCGCTTAGTTTCATATTTCGTCTTATTTACATAAAGCAGTTGGTAATACCTTCGTCAAATGTTATAAATGTATTCGTTTGTGTTGGCAACATTCAACATGCCAGTACAGGTTCATCGATTGTTGCAAGCGGAAGGTTTATTGCGAAAATCTGTTTTTCCTGGTTTTATGTTTTTATATTATGCGATTACTTTATTAGTAAAAATATGCCAATTTCGTTTCATTTAAAACGCAATAAAATTTCTATGCAACATGGGTCTATTTTATTATCTGAAATCCTGTACCGCAAAGAGTTAAGAGGTTTCCATCATACACAGGGCGAGTGGTGTAAAGTATCTATGAAATATTTAAATTTAAACAGTTTCGCTACGTTTGAGCTTACAAAATCATTCGGGAGCATGGAGTTATGTGATTCGATGAAGGATATATGATAACAGAAAAAGAAGACACTCGATGCAATTATTTTATGAGCTATGATGTCAGGATAATTTAATGACATTCAGATCCTTGAAAAAGGTCGATCGTGATTAAATTTTTTTCCATCATCGTATTTATTCTATTATGGTTTTTTTTTAATTTTTGATACTACTTTCCTACGTTTTCAAAAGGGATAGATTTTAATTTTATACGCATAAATACTTCGCTCTTCGTATCGTGATTTTCGTTAAATGGAACTGCTTAGTAAAAAGTAGAAGAAACGATTAATAAAGTAATGGTACTTGGATATACACACGGGCGTATTTTTGCGAATAATGGAACAAAACCTTGCTTTGGATTACAAATTAAATCACTTTTTGGTATCACGTGTCTTGGTCCCAATTTGTAATGCACGTATTGTAAAAAATGTAATAAAATATGATACATCTTTGGAGACATCTTGATCACAGGAGAGCACACGTTTTCGACTGAAAATCAAGCAAATTCACCAAAAATTATCCTTTTTAATATGTCATAAATACAGAGCATATTCTATTGGGTTGGCAAGAAAGTAATTTCAGTTTGCATCAGTAAATAATGTTATGATTGTTTACTTATTCTTTTGTCAATGTTAGAATTTTTTTCTTTTGAGATCTGGTAGTCGATACTTTTAGGTTGTTATTTCGTGAAATTCCGTGTAATTTTGTTTATAACTGTAAGTTCACGATCAGTCTTAACATGGAGTGCAAAAATAAGCATTTTCGACACATTTTACTTTTTTATTTTCATAAAGGCAAGAATGCGGCTGAGGTTCACAAAGAGATATGCGAAGTTTATGGTGTTGATCGTTTAACAGAACGCACGTGTCAGAATTAGTTTAGAAAATTTCGTTCTGAAGATTTTTCTCTAAAAGATACCCACAACGTTCTGGTCGACCTTCTGAGATTTACGTACTTGTTTAAGTTTTCTGCAGATAAGGACCAGAAATTCTATGAGGGCGGGATCATGAAGTTACCAGAAAGATGGCAAAAGATCATCGAATAGAATGGAAGATATTTGACCGATTAAAGTTCATTTACTGTTTAGAAAAAATTGAGTTTTATTTCACACTAAAAAACTGAAAGTACTTTCTTGTCAATCCAATATTAACACTAAACGTACCAAGTAGGGTCAAATGACCCCTTTCAAAATTTACTTTATAAATCGTACATTTATTGTTATTTCCTTCGCACATCTGACTTTCTGTAAATTCTCATATTATCTAATTGTTTAATTTCTCGCTTTTCGTTTTTCCCTTAATTTATTTTTTACCGAAAAAAATTCTTTCCATACCCAATATACCACGAAGTGTCATTTGACCCCCGTATGGTAAGAATAGGTGTGTGTAAAATACTGGTACGTTTAGTGTTAAAGTATATTCTATTATGCTATGTATACCTTGGACTTTTGATTCGCAGTACCAGTTGCCTTAGTACCATTCTCCATTGCTAGTGACTTTTTAGATTTAAATATCTTCGACATTTTACCTTGGAAATGAAATTACAATTTTATATATTATCAGGTGAAATAAAAATTTCCGTATATGTAATAATTTTATTGAATTTTCCATTTAATTTATTTTACTTACCAGTTCTTGGTGGTGGGGACTGCACGACATCAGCATCATCCTGCGCATTATCATTATCCATTTCCTCTTCCTGGATGTTCTTGTCCTTGTCATTCTGTTCGTCGACTTCTATCATGTCCTCTGCATCCACCTTCGACCTTATCGATTTGGAACTTCTGCTTTTCGACGAAGATTTCACCGATCCTGACTCCTCTTTCTTCCCTGACTCATTTTCTTCGGTTTCTGCTTTCTTGTCGCAAGGGTCTTCAATTTTTCCTTCGTTTTTTACTTTATTCTCTTCTTTTCCTTCTTCCATCAAAGATGATCTCTCTGTGGTGGAATTTCCGCTTCCAGGTTTCAGTCTCGGTGGTTTTGGAGGTGGTGTAGTATCCGTAGGAGACATTTGTTTCTCTGGACTCGCGTTTTCTTTAGAGACATCGCCATCGTTAGACTCCATTTTGTTTTCCGTTGAATCTGGTTTCACATCCTCGCTGTTCGTTTCCATATTATCAGTTGCGTCTTTGTTTTCCATTTCATTGTTTTCCTTATTAATCTCTTCATTCTCTATATTTATTTCCATAACTTCAATCGCCATTTCGTTATTGTTCTCTTCGTTACTTTGCTCAGACGTCTTTTCCGTTTGAGCATCATTTTCATCGTTCATCTTCATTTCTGAGCTTTCTTTATCATCTTTTCTCGGTGATACTTCGTTTTCGTTTTGCGTCGTTGATTCGTGAGATTCTTCCACGTGTGCTGGCACTTCTTCCTGCGCCATCTTAGTCTTCTCTTCGGTTGCTGTGCCATTCATTGACTTCTCTACTGGAGGATCGCTCGTAGAGTCTTCGGGACTCTTTTCAAGGCTACCCGATTTGCGCATCTTATTCACGGAGTTTGTGATACTATTTATGGCAATGTTTTCGTTATTCATTATATTTTCTTCGATTTTTTCCGGTGACGTTTCCATCGTCTCCTGTATATTCGTTATGGAGTCCATACCCTCTTTCCCGGAAATCGATCTGTCTTTATTTATTTCATTAACGTGCTCATCGCGAGTCTCGTTTTGCAGTCTATTTACAGGAAGTTTTAATGGCGGTAACGAATTTCTTTTCTGAACATGTTCCTGCAAGGTAAAATAATTCATACGTCAATCTGCCTTTTTCAATTTAAAATAAAGTTATTTTTCAAATTTATATTTGGTCATTGTAGAGCTATATATCTTGTCTCAAAGTATCGGTTACTCTCACGTTTCATCTTTTTGAATTATCGTAGTAATTACGAAGGTACCTTAACTGACTGATAATTCTACAATTACGCGAATCACATATATTAGTAGAAATTATGGTTGATGAAGTAGGTAATGAATTACAATTACCATTTGCGAATTGTCCATTTGCATACGGTTGTTCGTGTCACGCCTCTGGCCAACCAAGATAGTATGACAGCCACCACACGCAACCTTAGTAATTTCCAGTATAATTAACGATTTGCAGAATTAAAGATGAGAGACATAAATAATAATTAGAGACGTATGTTAATATAATTACATGCGAAACGAACAGTTCCTTATATCTTGAGACGAAGGTTAGTTCGTGAACATTGTTCTCATTTTCTTCCAAGCCTAATTTTCCGTGTCTTCCGTCACCGCACGTATAAAGATTTCCACAATCTAGGGCAACAAATTAATATTCACATAAATATGACATTTAACTTTAATTTTGATATCAAACTTTTTGGACTAGGTATTTTATGTAGTGGACTAGGTATGGAAAATAAAATTAATAAAATTCGTAATTTAATTTACCAGTAACAACGGCGGTGTGACTTTCTCCGCAAGAGATTCCAGTGATATTTTCATTTCGTAACGCGCCACGTGGAAGCAGTTTTGGTGTCTGAAGTTCCATGAAGTTTGTCCCTAGGCCGAGCTGACCGCTCGAATTACTTCCGGTGCAGTATAAATTTCCATTTTCTGTGAAATATAATAATTGTATACGAAAACTTTTATGCAAAATTCTTAGTATAACCACAACAGCTATGAGACACAGGAGATGGTGTATTTAGATTATACAAATCGAAGATTATATACCAGCTAAAATGACGGTATGATGACCACCACACGCTACGTGTATCGCAGGACTGGGTAATTGCATCTGCTTAGGTGCAACCTGTGTAGAAAAGCTTACATCGATTCCCAATTTTCCGCTTTCCGACTCGCCACAGACATAAACCAGACCGCTTTCTGAAAATACAATTCGAAATTCGAGGAAAAGATATTATTACTAGGATGTACTTTCTCGTAGGCGTTACGAAAGATTTTCTAAATATGGAATGCTATTTTATAACCTATGGTATATAATAATAACTAAGCAACATAAGTAATATTATGATAAAATTAGTAATTATTCGCACGAACAATTTGCAATAAAAATTTTATAGAAGCTGTTCGTGCGTGCTTAATTTACTTTTAACTAGTAAGTAATTTCTTTCTAATTTATTAATTTATAAAAGTTTTATTTAATTAATTATTTTAAATTTTTTTATTTTATTTAATTAAATTAATTAATTAAAAAAAATCTTATTTATTAATTTATAAAAGTTTTATGGAAGCTCTTCGTGCATGTTTAATTTATTTCTAAGTAGATTTGATAAAATCTTAAAGCATTATAATACTACTGAACATCTAAATTCCACCTCCCAAAAATTTTTCTCGAATCAATCTATTCATCGTTATTACTTCAGTCATATCCTAACGTGTTATAAATTATTAACATTTATAAAGAATATAGATATTTTTTCTTGATAAAAATATCAGAGCTAATGACCTGCATCAGGGACTTTCCTACAGAAAAATATCCAAATTTTGAATTTAAAGATATCGAGAAACAGTTTGCTTCGATTGTTCATCTTCGATAATCAGCAGAAGTTCCAATGAAGGACTTACCTGTTAAAAATGTAGAGTGAAAATATCCAGCACTGACGTGTTTCACAGGTTCAGGAATATGCACTTTGGTCGGTTTGTTCACCAAGCCAGACACATCCGGAAGTCCCAGTTGGCCCTCGAGGTTGCTACCCCAGGCGAAAACGCCGCCATCGCTGGTGAGTGCGAGCGAATGATGCGAACCCGCGGAAATCTGCACGACCTTTGATCCAGCTAGTCCCGAATCGTACACCAACACAGGAGTATACGCGCAATCGCCAAGAGCGGAAGTTCCTCTACCCAACTGTCCTTCCTGGTCGCTGCCGCAGGCAAAAATCTTCTGGGCTGCTGAAGAAACGAACAAAATTTATTATCAAAATACCACGAAACCAATTTCTTGATCGAAATTGAATCGATATCTTTTCACGATATTTTTCCCGATATTTCTTCGATATCGAAAGCTTTTCAGGGCGGAAGTGAGGCATGACCTTCTTGCGGAGGTCGAAGGGTTAAAGTAAATTATCGCTTTCATTATGATAGTCTGGCTGCTATAAATCCATCAACCTGAAGTGGTATTGTAAGATATGTAAATTACATCTTCTCGTGGCTTGTCGTGAATTAAATATCACATTATATGATATTTACGAGGTATTTACTACACGAGGTAATATAAATACACACAAAGGAAGAATATTACGTGACGGTTATAATTAGCATACACGTTTTTGATATAAGTATCACAATGTATGAAGGTTAGATTTATTTTAAACAGTTTTTCGAAATATTTTTACGTAACGCGAAAAGGTCATGGCAAAAATGGTAACGAACCGGAGAGCTCTCGATTGTAGCTCAGAGACTGCGATTATCGACGAGATCCAACGGCGATAGGGGTTCTAAAATTGAAAGGGCATTACAGCAATTAGCAATGGAAAATAAGGTTGACACGTAAACAGGTATAATATGGCGCGTTATGAGTGACAGATAGAAATCTTTCGAATGAAAAATACGGTACGTGTGCCGTTGCTAAAAGCAGAACCGATAATTTTCGTTTTCTAAAATGTGGGGCCATATCGCGTTATCAAATGTCGAATCTTATTCACTGGGATACGAATGCATTAATCGTGTTGCCAGCCAGTGGACCAGATTGTGAATAACAAGATAATAATAACGCTTGATAACAAATGAAACTCGACGAAAGTTTAATCATAAAAAAAATAAAGGAAAAGAAATTTAGCTTAATAAACACGCGATTATTTCCAGCTTTAGATTACCACGTGGGTATATTATTTTACAAAATTATTTAAAAAAAATCGAATACTTTCATAATTGACATAGCGAGCAATTATGATCAATACGTTATGATCAATAACGTATTTAGAGAAAAATTTCGAAAAAATTGATATTTTTTAAAATAACTGAAAGGATAAAGTAGAGTTGTTAAGAAATTAGAAATAGTAAATTAATTATTTAATTGATTTATAATTCTTTTGTCTGATGTGCGTTAAAGATTCGACAAGAGTTGGGTCAGACGAACATGATCACTTTCTTTCCCACGACAACCATTTTTGCACCCCGTGGAAAGCACTATTGAGAAGATACTTGTAAGTTGAAAGTTGAATGACTGGCGTGATAGAAAAAGTTTGGAACATGCAACGTTACGTACGTAATTACACACGGTATACAATGTTCCTATATTTATAAGGCTTTTGGTATCTGCATACTGGCATAAGTGTAAACGATGTCTTACCTGTGCAAATTAGCGTGTGTGCTCGTCCACATGCGACGTGTGTGACCTTTTCCGGCTTCAAAGCTGAAAATTAATAGATTGTATTATGAAAACTCCGAATAAATTTAGGCAGTCAAGATGATTTCAATTTCGGAATATGGATTGTTCCATATTCATGATTTTTTGTTGTTACAGTCACTGAAAGCATGCAGCTGCTGTCGATGGAATTAGTATTGACTTGTTATTTAGATACAACTATATATAATAATTATATTTATCTATTTATTTTCACCTAGGCAACTTAATTGCTATTATCTATTACATAGATAATATAATTATGACTATATATAACTATATATAATAATTATATTTACCTATTTATTTTCACCTAGATAACGTAATAGAGTACAATATATTTACAGATAATCATACATTATCTATGTATAACGTATATACGTATTACACGTTAATAGCTTTAATGTTATCAAATGAAAAAATTATAAAAGTGATAAAATAAGTCTTAAAATTTTAACTAGTCCAGGATAAAACATAAGATTAACGTTTAAAATTATATAAAATATATTTAAATCTGGGAGACAAGGAATATACAGACCTTTCACACAAGATGGCTTGCTAATGTGATTCTTATGACCCAGACCAAGTTGACCCCAATCATTGCTTCCGAAGACGAAGAGCCTGCCACTTTCTGTGAACAATAAAATACATTTTATGACTTAACCTTAACCAACTATAAATAATCTCCAAGCTAATGAAATTAATCTTTAATTCAAATCGTGATTCCCGTAACATTGAAATATTAAAACATTGTAACGTTTCTTCAGCTATTTAGACTCTACATATTCCACAGAAATAAACAGTACAATAAATTACAACGATAAAGAAAGTAAAAAAATAAATTATTCCAAGTTATCTCGCATTTATCAACAATTATATATTCTAATTTATATATTACGATAAGCTAAACTGTTAAATTTATATATATATTTTTTCCGATAGGAGGCTGGTTAAAATTCAGACGATTCATTGTAAAGGACCATCCCGAACAATATTCTATCGAAGGGAAAAACACGGTTCGTGTGCTTAGATAATTTCACGATTAACTGGAACTGCTGATAATAACAGTATGTCGACTCCGTTCGGTATAGGTATGTTACGTGCCAGAGCATTGCGTGGCCATATCGATTTACCGGACAGTGGCTATCCCTGTATAAGCACAGGTCTACTATAACTTCTTTGCCAGCCATGCTACAGAAGCTGTAAATCATGCCAGTTTCGATCCTGGCCATTTTGCGCCGAAGTTGATGGATCAACGCTTGACCTCGTGAAATACTCGCCAAAGGGTCTGTAATCCACTCCATCCGATCGAATGAAATTTCATAAAGTTCCATTTTTCCAATTTTTATTCCATCTGAAAATCTGGCTCACGCGAAGTACCGAAAGAAATAGAGAATCTCAGTACTTGAATGGCTGATGACGAGGTGGATTGGAGAAATTTTTAAATACGAAGCAGAAAAAATCTTTTTTACACGAAATGTATTAAAGAATGGTGTTATACATTGTAGCGTTTACGTTCATAACGTGTTACTATTTATAATATCTTTGGTGCTTATAAATCAAGATACCATCGTGACGCAAGTAAAAACGCGTGATGGCGGTGGACTGGCATGATGGAAGTTGAAATAGACCTGTAAATATCGCCACAGGAAGAAAATAGGCTGTTTTAATTACTTTCGCTCGTTTGCAAAACGACGTTGGGAATAGTTCAAGGGTAAAGAAATGTGTTTTGCGCAATCACACGAGTATTCGTATCGTAATTTTCGAATTTTGAACGATTTCTATTTCCGCACGGTGGAAATTTCGAAACTCGCGACCACGTGCAACATTGTTATTGTCATCGAAACGTTCGTAGTCATTCACGTGTTCGTCTATTGATTTCCATTAAAATCAAGTGTTCTCGTGGCCGAATCGATAGAGTAAGGCGTGAGACATTCGCTCACGTTTGTTATATTCCGCGAGAACTACCATAGACAGGTGAAATTAACTTTACGCGAAGAGAAATGGAGTCAAGTGTGTAAGTAACAGTTCAAGAAGAAGGTAAAAGGAAAGAAAAAAATATAAAAATTGGATATAGAAGGTAATGGTTGAGTTGAAAATCGATCGAGGTACACTTCTTTTGTATGTATGATTCATGACACGGTTTTCTATTTATTCCGCTATTTCTCAAGCTTCTACGCATTTCCTTGCGCTATCTTTGAACTACTATGGCACCATCATTGTGCATCAAATAAATAATTCAAAGGTCGATAATTCACCAATCCTTTAATTAATAATATCGATAGAAATGTATGTAACATCATGTTTAAGAAATCTTACAAATATTGTTTTATTATATTTATTTAAAAATTTGTCAGATCGTTATCGAATATTTTTCAACTTCAATGAACTCGTTCTTGAAGTAGAAAGAAGTTGGGTATAGAATAACCTTGAGCGAGATTATTATCCGAGGGTGCGATAATTAAAAAGACCACTTTTAATCAACTTACGACAAATTACTGCGGAATGCTCGTCACCACACTTAATGGAGACCACAGGGTCTCTGCGTATGAAGAAGTGCGACGCAACATTGTCTGCAAACCTGCTACGTCCTATTGTAAACACTGCTCCCGTTTCTGAAAAATCGTGCAGAAAATTTGCATTAACTCCTTGACAAAATCTGAATTAATCCAAAATAAATTGCAATCTTTATCGGTGAGACGTAACATTGATCGAAACTCGTCGATAATCACGAATAAACAGAATGACAATCACGATCAGTTATACTAACAATTCAAAGTATTTGCTATAACAATAAATACACAGCCGCAAATTACATCGTTAAAAGTTACACGAGACCATTCCTTTCCCAAGATTTCTTGTTTGTAATAGACGTCGACCTCCATTTATCTTTCTCTAAATTTAAGTCCAGCGTATCTATCATCTCACAGCTTGCAATATTCGTTAACGAAAAAACAGCGACGTGCTAAATCTCCAATGATTTATTTAAGGAGGTTAACGCGATAGCGCGATATCAAAGGACGAATCGCCACTTTCCTTTTTACGTCTGGCACGAAACGGCGGTCGTGGAAAAATCGCGAGACCAAGAACAAAAGCGAGATAAATTTCTTTTAATACTGCAGACACACGCGCGTTACGTGTGAAGACTTCGAGTGTTGGCTCAAATTGCTGGCTAGGAACACGGGGGCCAAATACAATGATGCACGTTCATTTGCAATTCAACGTTTCAACATTGTAATTGACCGTTCTAATCGGATAAAGGAAACGTTACTGCTTTGGTAGTATCTAGAAATTTTTCAGCTGGATCTAAAGAAGGATCTACGTTCGGCCGTAATCTGCAGGATCAAACGCCGTGCACACGAGAGATCAAAGAGATTTAAAGCATCGATGTTTGTTCGTGAAACAAGGATCGCGGAGAAATTGTTCTCGCAAATGTTTCCGAGTAAATTCGCCAGCAGTGCGTCTGCTTTCGAATTTATTTGCCAATTAGCGTTAGTTAGGGCAAGAGTTAATATCGCTGTGAATTATCAGGGGCGTTTCAAAGGATTTGCTATGGGAAGCATACAGGGGATTTTTCCATTACCGAGATATTTCGTTAATTGAGAATTTTAATACACACTAGCACAAATTTTTCTACGGGGTTATTTTATTTCATATAAACAGAATTCGTACCTTAACCTTAAGCTGGACTTTTATTTCCTAATTAATTCAAATTTTCATAACTTAGTAAAATGCATTTCATAAATTTCCTTTTCCTAGCCGCATCTATTGGCTACTTCACGTAAGTTGTATTACAGTAAACTTTTCCTATACTCTTAATACCTACGAAAGAAAATCCGAAAAAATTCTCGCATTAATAATAATTTTCACGATTACACCTTGACTTATTTTTCCGCCACAGACTTTATCACATCCGATAATTGCACGATTCCAAGGTCAAATTTACGAGGTCCTTCGATGCATGACACCTAGTCGTATTATCTCACGACTCAATTAAATCGAAATCCACGGGGAATTCGTGATGTAAGGAATGGAAATGACAGGTTTATACGCAAGAATTTTACGTTCCATTCACAGTTATACGACAGTCGCCGAGTCACAATCGTGCCACTGTATAGACTCGGAACGAATGAATTTTTAAACCCGGCCTCGGCTGATCGTGTCTATTGTAAAAGGAATCTGCTTGAAGAACAGAGAAAACTGGCGGTTGGAAAAGTACGTTTAATCGTGAAAACGACGATACACTAAACGATAGTGGCTAACCTAAGCGAGCTAACGATAATTTTAGTTTCCCTCCCTGGAAAGGTCAGTGATGCAGCTATTCGGTGTAAATCCTTCGCGCAGCTTACGTTTACATTCCTCTTATCAAAAGTTCAAACGTCGTCCCTTTGCATAATGCATCGCGCATTTATCTTCCAAACGAGACCGCGTTGTTCTTTACCTACGTTGACTTTAATTGCCAATTATGGTATCAACCAGGAGTTTTCCAGGGGTTTTCCAGGCCCTGGCTGATGAAAATTTACACGTCTGAATGAAGGAATTCCGAGGCAATGGGAAAGGTTCAACTTGTCAGCTGTTGTGTAGGTCAACGATGACCATGCTTCTCGCAAAGAAGTTTCGTTTAATAACTAAAGAACTAGTCACAGACTTCCTTTTGTGGTTAATGCTACAAATATAACGCGAGGCTCTGTCATAAATGGCATCGGATAGGCAAAGGGACGTGGTAATCCATAATACTGCCAACGACGAAGATCGATTAACGAGACCAAAATCAAACAAAATTTTAACGAATCGTGTTCAGTTCCTTCGATACAAATACAATTGAAGTTTGACGATAGATCGGATAGGCAAAAGAACAAAATAACCGATAATACTTTCAACGACGAAGATCCATTAACGAGATCAAAATCAAACAAAATTTTAACGAATAGTGTCCAGTACTTTTGATACAAATACAATTAAAATTTGACCATAGATCAGGAATTTGAAAGCAATACAATTTGCTTCGTCTTCTTTCCGAGACTTTTCGTCTGCGAAACGTGACTATCATCCACGGAATTTACGTCGACATGGAAAATAGCATAGTAAAACACGATGCAATTTACTGTTATCGTCTCCACGCTACGTATCTCTTATCGATCAATACGATACGAGATGCGGACAAGAAATGAGGAATCTATCTTCTCATCAATCTTCCGCGTTTCCTTCAATTTAACGCAGAAATGCACTCGAAGAAGCAAAGAAGGCACGACTGAATAAGGAATGAAGAGCAGCAGGTACTTTGCCACAAGCAAGTACCGCAGTGCAACAGTACGACTTGTCTTTAAGTTTTCATTGCCACGTCTAAAATTCAGACGATTCTGAACATTTCAGGTCACGTTCAACTTCTCCGCCTTCTTAATGGCTGGCACCGTACAATACTTTCATGGAAATGCGAATGACTGGGAACGTAACGTAGATCCGTAGACGTAAAATACAACTCGGTTGAAGTTGTACGACGCCAGTTGTACGATGTAGAACGTGTCCTTATTTCAAAACACGGCATGCAAGATGGTAAATTCGCCATGCCGATATCATCGATGCGCTCATTTTCTAGTCACTGGTACTGTGTCAGGTCGTTAACCCGGGGATGCATGACTTAACAGCCATGAAAACGGATGAAAATATACGCGTCCACGAATCGGATCAATCGCAATATTTAATTCACCATCCCGTAAGCGGCTAATCGGATTTTACTCTTGCCTGTGCATTCCCGATCCGAGTAACTGCGACGAGCTAACAATGTTATTAATCAACGATAACGCGATGTTTGCCTCTCATCGAAATTCGACTATGTTCGAAACGAGAAAGAG